GACCTCTGCCCTATGCGCCGCACTCGACACAAGAGGAAAGACTAACTAACTAATTGGTGGTGGTGGTAGTAGTGGTAGTAATATCCTTTTCCTGACCTTACGCTACTGTGCGCACTAGCGGTACCCTTGCTTTCAGCGCTGATGGAGAAGCTCTTTGCAGCGAGCACCGCCACCTGTGTTTGTTGAATAAAACTCGTGGTGTGGTGGTAGCGGTGGTGGTGGTGTTAGTAGTAAAAATAATAATAGTAATAGTAGTAGCAGTGGTGGTGGTAGTGGAAGAAGAAAAAGAAGACGAAGAAGAAGAAGAAGAAGAAGAAGAAGAAGAAGAAGAAGAAGAAGAAGAAGAAGAAGAAGAAGAAGAAGAAGAAGAAGAAGAAGAAGAAGAAGAAGAAGAAGAAGAAGAAGAAGAATTAAAAGAAGAAACAGACGAAGAAGAAGAATAAAAGGCTGGAAAAGATAAGTAGAAGAACGAGGATGAGGAGAAGCAAAATTATAGGAAATTTATAAAGCACAATCGAAAATATAGAAACGGAATAGAGAAGAGGCAATAAGGAAACTACTGACTGACCTAAACGAAGATGACGAAAATTGAAGAAGTAACGAGCAAGAAGAAAAGAAACATGAAAAAAAAATGGTAGAATAAAAAGGAAAGAAGAACTTGAAAATGAAAAAAAGGAGCGGAAGGAAGAGAATGCGAGGAGTGGAAATGGGGTTGGGGGGGGGGGGGGTCGCTGTTAAGACGACGTGAATTTGCCCCGGGCAGATTACAGACAGAAAGAAGTAATGGCGACCAGATCTAGTTGTAGACGCTAATGTACGTTCTCCTGTAGCAGGGCATAGTTATCTTGTCTTGTTGAGTTTTAGAGGCTGACATGTCGGATGCTATTGTGTCAATTCAGTTCCCTAGTTTTGTGATAGTCTTTCCACCTTAATATGGATGATTTCCCGTCTCTACCTAATCCGACTTACATGCTCACTGTCTGACACTAACTCATTAATGGACACTACATGACTGACTGACTGACCCATCTATCCACCCACCCACTCACTCACTTAATAACTCACTTACTCTCTCCCTCACTCACTCACTCTCTCCCTAACTCACTCACTCACTCACTTACTCACTCACTCACTCACTCACTCACTCACTCACTCACTCACTCACTCACTCACTCACTCACTCACTCACTCACTCACTCACTCACTCACTCACTCACTCACCCACCCACTTACTCACTCACTCATCCATCCACTCACTCACCCACTCTAACCGACTGATAGACACTAACTGACTGACTGACTGACTGACTGACTGACTGACTGACCCATATTAACTCACTCACTCACTCACCAATTCACTCACTTACTCACTCACTCACTTACACACCCACTTACACATCCACTCACTCGCTAACCCCTTACTCACTCATTGACTCACCCACTCATCCACTTACTCACCAAACCACTCACCCACCAGTCCACTCATCCACTCACTTATCCACTCACTCACTTACCCACTCACCCTCTCTAACCAAAAAATGGACCCTAACTGACTGACTCACCTAATCACCCACCCCATATTTACTTACCCACTCATTCACCCGCTCACTCACTCACCCACCCACTCACCCACTCACTCACTCACCCACTTAGTCCACTCACTCACTCACTCTTGTCTCTATCCCTATTGCAACATAGGCCCTCAACTAGCCGTTGTCAAGTCGCAGCTCATTCCATCTCTACCCAGTCTTTCCCATCTCCCCCACCCCTCCCTTTCGGGCCGCCCTATTTAACTGGCACCCGTAGCTTACTTGTAATGCGTGTAGTCCCACAATCTCCACATCTACAGTTGGAAATCAACTGCAAGCGGTTTTCGTAAAGCAAACAATCTGCATTGATTGTGACAATAGTGTAAGTGCCGTATCGTTCTATAAAAATGGCAAACAACTGAACAGAGACGTAATGGTTTCTTATTTCTTCACGTGGGCGAGTCTTGCTGGTCATTTCCTTCATCGTCAGAGGGTTGGATTCCCATGCCTTCCTATAGCACAATGTAATACTGTTGGTTGGAAAGATAGAAATGTGCCAAAAACAATTAAGATAATTTATCATTTTATTCTAGCTGTACATCTATAAAATTTTTCTAATTGATGTTCAACCAACTGATGTTAAAAATTAAAAATAAACGTTTTCCCACTCGCCACAGTGCTCTAAAAATTGGTCAATACAGGCAGTATTGATGTTAAGGTTTCTTATAGAAGTTTTGATATTAAAGAAACATGAGATGATTGAAATATATAACAAGAAAACCATGGCACTAACTGCCTTAGAGAGCCACATCACCAATCTTGTGTGGATTGGTCTATAAAAATATAGGTCTAGTCAAATATGCCCTATACGCCTAAAGGCGTGGAAAAGGGTCTACTTTGTTTTAAAATTATTTTTGTTCTTAGTGTATAACCTGTCAAACTAAATAATTATGAAAACAACAAATCCACAG